TGCTGTTTCTTCTCTGGCCCATCTCACACTCTAAACCCCACAGACTTTATCATTTATACCAACCCTTGTATCATTAACAAATGCTTGTTTATTGATTCACAGACAAATCTCTGAAATCACCACCTGTCCAGGTGATTCATTCAGATTAGGGAAATTCACATGCTTGTTAATCACCCCTGGTTATAAACTGGGATCAACATCCAAACACACAGCATCTGTTTATTGTAATTAGCTGAAGTAAATTGCATGAATAAATAATATCCCACACAAGTTCCAAGCTGCTATTGTCATCAACTTTTGTCTCTCTAATTTGTGAGCAGGATAAAGCACCTTTTCTAGTTCCAGTGGCTGCCATAACCCAGGTTTCTCTCCCAGTATGAGGCCCAGTACAACCCTTCATTCCAAGCAAATTGTTTATCTAAACACCATAATGTACATGGTTATGCAAATAACTGATCTATGCCCAGCTGAATCCTTATATGTCAGTTTTGTACATAGTTACTTCATATTAACCAAATAACAACTGGTCTAACAAGTTAGTGACCAGTTGAAGATTCTACCTAATGTTTCAGAAGTTACTCAGAAATTGTGTCTTCAAATAAATCTTTTCCTTTTTAAGTGGAAAATTCTTCTTTTCTATGTGTATTTCTATTATTAAAAATACTTCATTAAAAATAAACTCATAATACAGGAAAACTCAGAAAAAAAATAAGCAAAACTCACTGACCCCTTCAATTAGCTGACGATTTTGTAAACTTAAGAGTTTATATTCTTCTGAGGTTTTATCATGATGAATTTATAAGTACTTTTTTTCCAGATGAAAGCACACTAAATGGACCTAAAAGTAAGTCATTCTTAACCAATGTTTCCAAATTTATTTTCAGACAATAAATTTACTTTATCTGGAAATAATTTTAATGGATAGATGAAAAATTCAGTTCCTTTACATATAAATATCACAGAGAGATTCAATTTTCCCTAGAACTATTTTTGATTTGCTTGAGAGAAACATAAATTTTATTGGTCTGAAGGTAATGCAGCTGATTTCCTAGTCTTACACCCTTTTCAAAGTAGCCTGGCCCTACTTTCACTTTCAATCTCACTTATAGGGAGAAATTAAAATTTCAATTTATGTCCTAAAATGGACCCTAGAATTTATTTCAGGGAAAGTCTGGAAATAATTTTGTTGTTTATCATTTACAAAACCAGGAAGCTGACAGGTTAAAAAAGTTAAAGAAGGTGAGAACAAATTGGCAACCCATCTTAGTGATAGCCTATGAAAGAATCTTATTTTGAGTTTGAGGGTGGCCTGGAGACTGTGCACATTGTCCATATGAAGACCACTCAGTGCACATCAGGCCTCACCCACTGACTCTCCCCAAGTACATATTCCTGTCCCCAAAAGGCTGAGGGGCTTTCCCATCAGGCTCTGTGCAAGTCAGTGAACCCATTTCCTAGAAGACTCAGAATGCCCAGGAGTGRGGTGGTACCCTGGGGAGTGCAGTGACCCCATCACTGATGTGGTATTGTGCCAACATCTGATTTAATGGTAGCCTCTTTGGCAGGGAAAGTTGTGCTGATCTGTGAGAAATGACAGAGCAACTTCAGATTCTGGTCCTTGAGGTTGCAAACTTCCCAACAACCCTGTGCCTCATCTCACAGACTCCATTTCCTGCTTCTTCAGGAATAGTGTGAAACCTCAGTGGTTAATGCAGGAAGAAATGCTTGTAGTTTCGATTTCAGTTCTATTTATTTTCACTTGCTTTTTGACTGGCTGTAATACCCTGTTTGCTTTTCAGCTCTTAAGAAGACAGGTTAGTTTTCTGAGGCGCCAGCTGAGGATGAAACACAAGCAGTGAATAAAGGCAACTGAGAACGTGCAGAGTCCCTGCCAGGTGAGTTTGCTGCAGACCTGCCACCCATGAACTTGTCCCTCAACTAAAAACAACAGCAAATTCCATTCTGGGGTTGCATTGCAATGTGCAGGAAGACCATGGGAGGCCACTGGGAAGAGTCCTCTGGCATTTGACAAGGGCTGTGTACCCCTCCCACCCCCCAGCTCAGCTGCTATCTCTGCAGAGGCAGCAGGGAGGGGAAGTGTGCTCCCTCCTCCTGTCCTCAGTGGTCTCCTGACTTATTCCTCTACTTGCCCTCAACACAGTCCATGAGAACCTGCATTCTCTCTCATTTTCCTGGAGGCCTTACCTTATTCCCTGCTTATGTTCTTCTGAGGACTTCTCATTATCAGATAAAGGTTGATTATTTTGTTCAGTATCTGTTTCCCCACAGGAACAGAGATCCTTGAGACAGCAATTTGCATTCACTCAGTAAGCTCATTGACAATGGATCTCTAGAACAGTATCCAGCATGTGGCAAGTACTCAAAACATATTACTTGACTTAATGAGAGAAGAAGTTCTTTTGTAATGCTTAATAATATTTCTAACCAGTGTTCATCTCTACCATTTCTCATTCTGCCTCTACTTACCTAAAAATATTCATATTCTCAGGGCTCTGACATCAGTGCTTTGCTTTCCTCAATCTCTTCTGAAAAATCTCAGGCAATGCTTCTAGTACTTTCTCCACATTTTTAAAAAATATTTATCTTTAAGTTGTAGGTGGACACAATACCTTTATTTTATTTTTATATGGTGCTCAGGATCGAACCCAGTGCCTCATGTGTGCTAGGTGAGCGCTCTATCTCTGAGCTACAATCCCAGACCTCTCTCGACATTTTTTAAATTGGTGCATTATAGTGGTACATAATGATGATATTTATTATTAAATATTTGTACATACACATAATATAATAATATAATTTGGTCAATTTAACTCCCTAGCACTCCTCTTAACCTCCTCAGTTAGACTTACTTTGCTGAACATAATGGTCTCATGTTCTATTTATTTTCCTGCAAATTACATGATTCATTTTTTTTTAATGACTGAATGTATCTCCAGTGTGTATATATATCACACTCTCTTTATCCGTTCATTTGTTGATGGTTACCCAGGCTAGTTTCATAGTTTGGGATCATGAACTGTGCTGCTATAAACATGGTTATGGGTGTATCACTACAGTATGTTGACTTTAATTCTTCAGGGTAAATACCAAGAAGTGGTATAGTTAGCTCATATAGTGGTTCTATGACCAGTCTTTTGAGGAACCTCAATACTGATTTCCAAAGTGATTGTACTAATTTACTGTCCCACCAACAGTGTAAAAGTGTTCCTTTCTTTTCACACCCTCTCCAGTATTTATTAGCATTTGTGTTCTTGATGACTGCCCATTCTGACTGGTATGAGATGAAATCTCAGTGTAGCTTTGATTTGCATTTCCCTAATTAAAAACTATATTGACCATGTTTTCATGTATTCATTAGCCATTTATATTTCTTCTTTTTAGAAGCGTCTGTTTGGATGATTTGCCCATTCATTAGTTAGGTTTTTTTGTTTGTTTTTCAGTGTATATATTCTGGATATTAATCTTCTGTTGGAAGATTAGCTAGGAAAGATTTTTTTCCCATTCTGTAGGTTCTTTCTTCACATTCTTAATTGTTTCCTTTTGTGGTCAGAGACTTTTAAATTTTATGTCATCCCATTAATTAACTCTTGGCCTTATTTCCTGAGCTTTAGGGGCCCTATTGAGAAAGTCATTGCTTGTGCCTGTATGCTGAAGTGTTGATCTTATGTTTTCTTATAGGAGTTACAGTTTTGGGTCTAATTCTTAGGTCTTTGGTGCATTTTCAGTTGATGTTTGTGCAATATGAGAGGAAAGGGTCTTGTTTCATTCTTCTACATGTGGATAATCAGTTACCTCAGCATCATTTGATAAAAAAGCTGTCTTTTTTTCCCAGTTTATGTGTTTTTTTTAATATTTATTTTTACTTTTTGGTGGACACAACATCTTTGTTTGTATGTGGTGCTGAGGATCGAACCTGGGCCGCACGCATGCCAGGCGCTACTGGTTGAGCCACATCCCCAGCCCCCCCAGTTTATGTTTTTGGTATTGACATTTGTCAAGGATAAGATGACCATATCAGTGGATGTTTGTTTCTGTGTCTTCTCTGTACCATTGGTCTGTGTACCTGCTTTTATGCCATTAACATGCAATTTTTGTTATTATATCTCTAAGTATATTTTAAAGCAGGTATTGTGATGMTTCTAGCATTGCTTTATTTTTTCACTTGCTTACAATTGTTTTGACTACTCTGGATTTTTTATCTTCTAAATGAATTTTAGGACTATTTTTTCTAGTTCTATGAGGAATAACATTGGTATTTTTTTAATGAGATTTGCATTAAATCATATATCATTTTGGTAGTATGGCCATTTTCACAATATTCTTATAATTAATTAATTCTAATTATTCTAATTAATATTAAGCCTGTGGATCCATGAACATGGGAATTCTCTCTATCTTCTGGGTTCTCTTCAATTTCTTTCTTCAGTTTTCTATAGTTTTCATTATAGAGGTCTTTTACTTCCTTGGTTAGGTTTACTCCAAAGTATTTTTTTTAGGTTATTGTAAATGGGATTGTTGTCCTGATTTCTTCTTCTGCAGATTTATTATTATATATAGGAAATCTATTGATTTCTGTATATTCATTTTGTAACCTGCTACTTTGCCAAATATGTTTATTAGCTCTAGCAGTCTTTTGGTGGAATGTTCTGCATCTTCAGGTATAAGATCATATGATCTGCAAGCAGGAATAATTTGACTTCTTCCCCTCCCTATTTTTATCCCCGGTATTTCTTTCTCTTGGCAGGCCACACTTTTTGAGTCCGTATTGGAAATAAAAGATAATGTATATAAGTCATCTATACCAGAACTTGACATGCTAGATAATGTTTTTTTTTCTTTTAAAAACATACAAAATTTAGAAAGTTAATATAAACATTCCACAAGCAGAGAATTGACATGAAAGTGCATGTCAATAGCCATCAGAGATGACGTCAAGATCCTGGGATTCACTGAGTGGCTTTTCTGAGTTACAGGTGACCATGGCATCTGAATCTACCATGAAGTCCCCCATTTGTTTAGTGGAAAACTGGAATGAGCAACTGACAGTGAATTCAGAAGCCTTGAGGATTCTTGACAAGATATGTCAACCTGTGGTGGTGGTGGCCATTGTAGGGACATATCGTACGGGGAAATCCTACCTCATGAATCAACTTGCAGGACAGAACCATGGTGAGTGTGGTTCTGGGGCAAGGGAAGTTGCTTCTAACTACAGATAGGACAAGCTGATCTCACTTTCTCTAGGGTCATCTTAAGGAAGAGGCTAATCAATCCTTTCCACTAAGGAAAATTTCTAATTCTTACCAGCATATTCATAACCTCTCACCTATCCAAAATTATCTCATTCTTTTGTCCATTAATAAAGAGCTTCCCAATCTTATAAAAATATCTGCTTCACTGTTCTTCCTGATGCCATCCACTCTCACCTTCTCAGGAGTTGAGCTGTAGCAATCACCCCCTTTCCCCTATCTGAATCCTTTTGTCCAAGCAACATGGCCATTTTATGTAGCATGAAAATATAATTAAGTATGTCCTTAAAAAATGGATGGGCAGAAGGATGCACAATAGGATCTCTTCATATCCAATGTCCAAATTGAACTACCAGTCAATTTTTTTCCTCTATTTCATAGCAAATCTTTGACAAATTAACATGCTGCTCTCTTTGTTTAGTTTTTTTGTATCATGCAAACTATAACAGAGTACAATGTAGTTAATAAATACAAAGTGAACAATTATATAATCACCATGCACATCAGGAAATAAAACCTAACCAACATTCAAAAGCCCAAATCATATCCTCTCATACTCTTACCAAAGCTTATTAATATTTGGGGTTTCAGGGGACACTCTACTCTTGCTTCTAAATAATTTTTCTATAGTCTATTATTCAGTCTACAAAATATCTTAGTTCAACTTTGTTTTGACTTTTATGTAAAAGGGACTGTGGCGTATGTATCCTTGTGTGTCTTGCTTCTTTTGCTCAACAAGAAGTTTATGAGCATCCTCTGTTTGTCACACATATCTGTAATTTATTTGTTTTCAGTACTTTAGAGTATGCTTGTACCAGTTAATTTATCCATTAGTTGTTGATGAGCAGTGGTGTTATTTCCAGGTTTTATCTTTAATGAATAAGGTAGTTATAAATATTCTTATATTTATATCCTGGTGTGCACATGTACAAAAACTTCTCCTGTGCCTTATATCCAGAAGTGGAATTTCTGGATTGCAGTTTCCATATATGTCTTCATACTTTTGTGCCATTTACATTCTTTTTCTTAGGTTTCCACACATCCTGAAAATAATTGGTAACACAAGACAAACTCTTAACTCCTACTGATCTATGAACTGGATAGTTGTACATTATCTATCTCACTATAAATACAGGCAAGTTCCTATTATATGAACTTGTTCACAAAAGTCAGTCTTGTAATCTCTGGGGTCCCCCCACACACTCTATCTGTCTCTCCCTCCACTCCTCCTTCCTCCCCTCCCTTGTTCTGTTTTTCCACCTCTCTCCCTTCCTTCCATTTTCCCTCTCTGCTTTTCTCCCCTCTTCTCTTTTGGCCATTCTTCCATTGTGGCCTAAACAAAGCATTTTGTCTTCCCATTCTTTTATTCTATAGTTTTCATTATAGAGGTCTTTTACTTCCTCGGTTAGATTTACTCCAAACTATTTTTAATTTTAAGTTATTGTAAATGGGATTGTTGTCCTGATTTCATCAATCAAGGAAGAACACTTTTTTTCTTACCTGTAAGAAACAAATTAATAAGCCATATTTTGAGGGAAGAAAGTTTTGAAACTCTAAGACACAGATAATAGAAAGGAAGTTTCAGCAGTATTGTTCTTATTGTCTACTCAAGATAACATCAAGTGGATTGGGACTGTGGCTCAGCGACAGGGCGCTTACCTAGCATGTGTGAGGCATTGGGTTCAATCCTCAGCACCACATAAAAATAAAATAAATACAATAAAGGCATTCTGTCCATCTAACAACAACAACAACAACAATAATAATAATAATAATAACAATAATAATTATAATAACAACAACCACATCAGACAACAATGAGATCATTGCCAATGCTCTGCTAAAGGAATTTATGGTTCCAAAGTACTTTAAACATCTCAACTCTGACTCTCCAACCTTCCACATCATAGTGTCATAATAATAACAGAAAGAAATTGATTCACTTCCAGTCGAGGTTCAAAAGCAAAACCAAGCCATTATTTCCCTCTTTGTGGATGACTCATTTTCCTTTTATTATACCTTGGATTCTTGAGAGTGATGATTTCTCACCACACTTTGTCCTCTCTAAAGTTAGGCTGGGAGTTAGGCTTAGTCCATACCAATCAGAAATCAGATGCTACTATCTATAAGAAATTGTAGACTTCCTACCTATTTATGGAACTCACAGAGGCTGCGGAAATGGGATGGCCCAGGTCATGCTGAAACAATCCTCTAGGAATTTTGTCACTTCCTTTCTCTTCCCAGTTGAAGGAAGGAAGCATTACTGTATGCAGGTGGTCAAAGTCTTGAACTGCTGGACAGGTCATATCAGCCACTGGTTCCAGGACTAGTCTTCAAATCCTTTCTCCTGTGGGATTAACTGTTTGTAAAGAAAGTCAACAGGTGTCACAGGTCTTTCCTGCTTTTTCTTCATTTATATCCTCCTGATGGGGCAACGGAGTACAGTTCATAGGAGAAAGAAAAAAAAAAACTCAATAGGGAGGGAGAAAGGGTTGAGGAAACCTGCAAAAGCTAATGTTTCAATACAGGTGTTTGCAGGCCCCAGCTGACCAAATTATTATTTTTCCATCWCTATAAGATACCTGAGATAATTAAACTGATGGAGATAAAATGTTGACTCACAGTTGTGGAGGTTTCATGATTGATTTGCCCTGATGCTTTGGGCCTGTGGTTAGGGAGCATATCATGGCAAGAAGCTTATGGAAAAGCAAGAGTCTGCTCACCTCATGGCAAACCAAAGAGGAAACAAAAAGAAAGAAGGGAGAGATCAGGACCCCACAATCCCCTTCAAGAGCACCCCTTCCCCCATACCCAATAATGTGAAGTCCTCCCACTAGGCCCCACCTACTAAAGGTTCCTCCCAATAGTGCCAAACTGGGGACCAAGACTTATACACTTGGGTCTTTGGAGACATTCTGGATCCAACCCATAGCACCCATTCACAGGGTAATTGAGCATTGAATGGAGGAACTATTTCCAAGGTCAGAGTGTGGGTAAAGGAATCCAGCCAGGTGTGATAAAGCACCTGGTCAGTGGCAGTAGCAGTGGCCTCTGGTACACTGAGGAGGTGAGTTTAGAGTGGATGCCATGATGTGGCAAAGAGAAGAACTATTGGATGGACCTACAGGAAAGGAACAGTGACCTGAGGTAGAGGAACAAGCCCCTGGGACACTGTGGCCCAGCACAATGGAAGCTGGAGGAACACATGTTCTGGTCTCCCACTGGTGTTTCCAACTGGTTGAACTCAGCYTGCAGCCAGAGGACACTGCAGCTCTTCCTGGTCAGATAAAAATACATAGGATGACAGCACAGGATGATGGAGTTTACACTAATTATTAAGGTGAAATAATGCAAGCACTTGAAAGAATAATGTGAATTTGGGGCATGAAGTGTTTTTTGAGAAAGACAGACAACATGTGGATTATTTATCCTTGTGAAATACTGGCAGACAGTATCCTTGCTGGACACTGTACATTCCCACAGATTTAACCCCTGTAGCCCCTGGCAGCTTTTCCTCTCAGCTGTCACTCTATATTGTCTTCTCTTCCCTCACAGGCTTCCCTCTGGGTTCCACAGTGAGGGCTGAGACCAAGGGTATCTGGATGTGGTGTGTGCCCCACCCCAGCAAGCCAAACCACACCCTGGTCCTCCTGGACACTGAGGGCCTGGGGGATGTGGAAAAGGTGAGGCAGAGAATGTGCTGTACTCTTTATTCATGTTCCATTCAATGGGTCACCTCAGTTTGACTACCATGTCATATTCCTGTACTTGCAATCCAATTATGAATAATGAGGCTAAATTCCGGTTCCTCAAACTTCCCTAGCAACTTAAAATACCTTGGTTGTTTGAGTCAAGGTTTTTTTTTTTTTTTTTTTTTTTTTGCTGCTGTGAAAAAAAATACCTGACAACAACAATTTTAGGAGGAAAAGTTTATCTGGGCACTCACAATTTCAGAGGTCTCACTCCATAAACAGYCAGCTCCATTTCTCAGAGCTGGAGGTGAGGCAGAACATTATGTGCAAGATGTGGCAGAGGGAAGTGGCTCACAGGATGATCAGGAAACAGAGAAGGAGACTCCACTCTTCAAATACAGATTTGCACACCAAAGACACACCCCCAGGGATCCACCTCCTACAACYATAACCTACCCATCTTCAGTTGCCACTCAGTTATCCATCAGGGGATTAATTCACTGATTGGTTAAGATTCTCATAACCTAATCATTTCTTTCTTTTTTTTTTCTTTAAAGAAGTAATAATTTTCTTTCAAAAACACAAAAACTTTATATTCAAAAATCAGGTTAATTCTAACACRTTATTCTCAAAAACTTGTATCATGAAATATAAACTGAACCTCTCTATATTTTCTATCTCTATGAGAGAATATAAACGGGCTTTATGTTGTTGTAACTGTTGTTTTTCCAATACCGGGACTAAACCCAGGGGTGTTTTACCACTGAGCTACAGCCCCAGTTCTTCTATTTTTTTTAAATTGTTATTTGCTCTTTTTAGTTATATATGATAGTAGAATGTATTTGGACATACCAGATATACATGGAGTGTAACTTCCCATTTTTGTGGTTGTCCATGTTGTGGAGTTACACTGCTCATGTATTCATACAGGAACATAGAAAAGTTATGTCTGTCCACTCTTCCCTCCCCCACCTCAGCATGTGCACATTAGAGAGACTATTAGGCCTTTGATAACCCAATCATATTTCCTTTGAACCTTCTTGCATTATTTCACACATAAGTTTTGGGAAACACCCCGTATCCAAACCATTACTTAGGTAAATTAGGACAGGTCTTTTATTTTTTAATACTGAGATGTGCAATTTAATTTAATAAATATACATTAAATAGCTGAAGTCCAGGGCTCTGTGCTAAGTACTATAACTATATCACTTAATAAGGTAAAGACTTAGAGCCTGTTTGTAGAGACAAGAAATATGGAATGAAATCAGTAGAAGGAAAGAAATGCAAAAAGTGGGGAACTGATCCAGCCATGAGAGTTAGAGAAAGCTTCCTGAAGAAAGCTCTCACCTGTGGGGTCAATGGGTTTGGTACCTTTATAGGTAGAGGCCATGAAAATAGCCTTTTGGTGAAGGAATCCATTTTAATAATCTTCAGTTTTATCATTAAGATTTTGGTCCAGGTCTCTGAGCTCCGGATGAAATTTTCACCATCTAAAAGCATGAGTTAGATCTAACAAAAATATAGCAAATGGTAAAATTTTAGGTAATTCATCTTTACATTATTAGTTGCAATCAGTCTTTTCTCCTAATTTATATTAGTTTGAATCTCATTGATTTGTAATATGTTGTAGTTTGCATAAAACACTTTCTTTACATCTAATTGCAATTTTCAAGAGAATAAAACATAACCTGAAGGCAGCAAAACTTATGGCTGATGTTAGAACTTGTAACAGGATCTGGATCTATTTCAAAGCCTTTTATGTCTTGCTGTTATCTCATTTCAGGCCTCTTTTCACTCTGGCCTGCATACTCACTGCTTCAGTGAAATAAAAGAAACTTGTGTTCTAACCAGTGAGACTTGCTGCTGCTGGTCCTTCCACTTGCTGGACCCCTGCATCTCCACAAGTCTATATTCTATCAGCTCTTTAAACCTCAGCTAATGACTTCTTGCTCTGAATTCCCAGAGCAATTATTCACATTCATGGGCCTCTCTACTCTGCTATTTTCTTTTTCTTTTTAAATAACTTTGGTTTCCTCTCCTCACAGATTATCATTTGAGCTGTGTTTATATGTTGTTACATGTATCTTTGCCTTCATAAGGTGATATTCCTATGAGCAGGGGCTATCATATGGAAACTTTGTATCTACAAAAATCAAATGCAGGTCTGGCATTTTGTCAAATGTCGAAAAAAGGGTTGTTGAACTTAATTCGATAGTGCTTGCATCCTTAGTATAATCAGGATTACGATGAAATTTGTAATAACAAATTGCCCACATATTACAGGACATCTACTATGTTCTAGGCATTTTTAAAACTATTTTATGCACACTGAGAATGACCTTCATTTGCCTTCATAGCTAAACAAACTAATATTCTGAGAGGGACCAATATAAATATCAATAAAGAGATTTGAATTTAGCATTATTTTATAATTTTGTTATTTCCCCTATATTCAGAAATAGTATAGCTAAAAGAAGGAATGAAGCCAAGAGCGGTGTTGTGTTCCATAATCCCAGTACTGGGGAGGTTGAGGCGGGAGGATGTTGAGTTCAAAGCCAGCCATAGCCAAAGCAAGGTGCTAAGACCCTGTCTCTAAATAAAATTCAAAAAAGGACTGGGGATGTGGCTTAGTGATCGAGTGCCCCTGAGTTCAATCCCTAGTATCCTCCCCTACACACAAAAAAAGAAGGAATGAAAACTACATAAATGATGGAATGAAGAGTGGACTACTAAATTCTTTGTTCCCATGTGATTTCTAGGGTGACCCTAAGAATGACTCCTGGATCTTTGCCCTGGCTGTGCTTCTCAGCAGCACATTTGTCTACAACAGCATGGGCATCATCGACCAACATGCCCTGGAGCAGCTACAGTATCCTTCCAAGAACCAAACAACTATGTCTCATTGAGGTTAATGGCAACTCAGGCTGTTTCTTCTTTCTTCTAACTTAATTGTCTTGATTGAGTAAGAATGGACATGGGGTGCCAGGGTTGTGGCTCAGTGGTAGAGTGCTTGCCTAGCATGTGTGAGGCACTGGGTTTGATCCCGGGCACTACATAAAAATAAATAAATAAATAAACAAGCAAAAAACAAACAAATAAATTAAAGGTATTGTGTCCATCTACAACTAAAAATATACATATTAAAAAAGAATGGACATGAGGAGAAAAGAATATTTATAAAACTTGTTTCTAAGGGAGATCTGAAAATTGTGRTGCTTCTCCTTCCTTAGCTAGTATCCCAGCTATGTGACTGAACTAACAACACTAATCAGGGCAAAATCTGACCCCACACCAGATGAAGTAGAGGACTCCTCTGAGTTTGTAAGATTCTTTCCAGACTTTGTTTGGACTGTTCGAGATTTCACACTGGAACTGAAGTTGGATGGACACCCCATCACAGAAGATGAGTACCTGGAGAATGCTTTGAAGCTGATTTCAGGTATCCGAGGGTGGCCTTGGTGTGGGATTAACTAAGCCCTGTCTTTTAGTGCTTGATATACCTGTTTATTTGCAAATGGATTAAGGCCCTTGCTAATGATGATTGATGATTGATAAGTGACCATGATTTTTATATTTATTTTATAAAAATCTTCAGAGGCCCAAATTTAAATTCACTAAGGAAATTTAGGCCTCATTATTGCACCCATGTATGTTAGAACAATAGTACAATGAAAAATAATGAGGATACAGTCAATGCTACCACTTCTAAGGCTCATATATTACTTATGAAATGTTACTGCTTCTTTTATTTTGAGGAAAATAGTTTATCACACTAGATATGAGTAAACCTAGAATCACAGGAAATATAAGGAATTAATTTTAAAAATATTTCACTCATTATACTAAAGTAGATAGTTACATCCTTCAGAGAAAAGATGTTTGTATAATGAATCATTCATGGGTGGAGGGGGAAGCAACACATAATTCCAGGAATACTGTCTAACCTTTCATTTTACCTTTTTGACAACATCACCTTATTTATCCCACAGACTTACATGGTATCATGCTTCTATTACAAATTTAATCACATGGAGTATATTTAACAGAGTAGATAAGTACTGGTGCTTATCAGTACCCATGTGTATTCATTCTTTAAATTAACATCTATTTGAACAGCTGATTTATGCCACAGAATCTCTGTGAGACAAACTCAAGTCCAAAATAATCTCACATCAAGAAGTACACATTAAATTGAAATTCACTTTAATGCAGTTTTCTGCTCAAGGAATTTCTAAACATAATTATGGTGTGTGGATTTGGGGCTTTGATTGAGAAACATTTTTCTCTACAGTTCTGGGTGTCATCTGTCTTCCCAGCAACATCTGTCCTTATTTCTAGCATTACTTTAGTGAGGAGCCTACATCTTCTTTATGACATGGGACTACAATATCAGAAAAGTCTTTCTGACAATTTTTGTGATTAATCAGTCATTTCAAACTTTTAATAAATACTTTACAGTGGGTTTACCACTAAACAAGGGTTAAGGAGACCATTTACAAGTTTCTCCATTTGAGATGAGTATCTCTTCTTTCTCTCCAAAAATACTTCCTTGACTCTGAGCCCTGATTAAAAAAAAAAAATGGATGTTCAAGTTAGCATAACACTGCTTTCTATGATTGAATAAAGATAAACAGGCTTGGGCTGGGGCTACAGCTCAGTGGCATAGTGCTTGTCTTGCATGTGTGAGGCACTGGGTTCAAACCTCAGCACCACATAAAAATAAAATAAAAAATAAAGTCATGCTGTCCATCTACAACTACAAAAAAAAAAAAAGAAATTAAAAAAGAAAAGATCAAGAGGCTTGAGAATTACATTTAGACAAAGATTCATAGAAAAATCTCAATCTCTTTGTCTGAAGGCTTGTCTCCTGAATCAGTGTTCTTTTTTATAGGAAACAATAAAAAAATCCAAAAATCCAATAACTCTAGAGAGAGTATTAGATGTTTCTTTCCGAAACGAAAGTGCTTTGTCTTTGACTGGCCTACAAATGACAGAAGCCTGTTGTCCCACATTGATAAAGTTCCACAAAACCAGCTGGAAAAGAATTTTCAGGTGCAATCAAAGAACTTCTGTTCCTATGTCTTCACCAATGCAAAGACCAAGACCCTGAGAGGGGGAATCATTGTCACTGGAAATCGTGAGTTTCTGTTGTCCAAGTGCATGTCTCTGGGGGGTTCAATATGTATGATAACACTGTGATTCTTTTGTGAGTTTGTCAGTAACTCTGTTTGCTTTTGTAAGAAATGTGGAGAATCAGGCATTCGTGCCACACACAGAAATGCATTTTCCTTAAAATTTTCATGTCTGAGGACTTGTTGAAGTCTAACACATCTCACAAAATGAGCACCCTAAGGAAGTGTACTCATCAGAAGCTACTACTAAGGAGAGAAATCTGCATGTAGAGGGAAAATCCCATAGGATTGAATGTTTCCCTGTGAGAATATACAAGATATTTCATGAATTGAAACTAGTCAGAAAAGAATCAGCAGGTCATGAGTCCCATGCCAGCTCATTGTGTTTGAGAAACAAATTTAAACAGCACTAGTTTCAGGAGCATGTGTTCCAAGCAATCATGAAGTCTCGATATGGGCCTATGTTTGTTTCCAAACTCTATGTTGGTTTCTGTAAATTTTTGATAGTATTTTTTTACAAGGAAACTTTCATTTTTATTTTAAATCAAGACTCACAAATTATGTAATTTACTTTATGATAGACTCTTTTACTTTATTTAAATAGGAAAGTATTTTTCTAGGAAACACTAAAAACCTCTTGGTTGCAATTAGTAATTACTTAATGAGGTGAATGTGAGAACTATAAAAGAAGGAGTGTATAGGAAAAACCGTGTTGTTAAATTGTGATTAATTCAGAGAGGAGATAACCAAGGAAGAACAAGAAAGAAGTACAAAAGGAAAAGAGGAAAACATTGAGATAAATAGAGTGTTTGTTGTTATTGTAAAGACAATGCTTAAAGTCTGTAAAAATGATGGGTAAGACTTCCCACGTATTCCCTGTCACTTAGGGTTGGGGACTCTGGTGGAAACCTACGTGAATGCCATCAACAAAGGAACCATTCCTTGCTTGGAGAATGCAGTGATCACTCTGGCCCAGCGTGAGAACTCAGCAGCTGTGCAGAAGGCAGCAGACCACTACAGTGAGCAGATGGCCCAGCGGGTGCAGTTCCCCACAGACACTCTCCAGGAGCTGCTGGAGGTGCACACAGCCTGTGAGAAGGAAGCCATCGCAGTCTTCATGGAGCACTCCTTCAAGGACGACAATCATGAGTTCCAGAAGAAGCTTATTGTAATTGAATTTTTATTCATCCTTCCTTATTCCTCTCCTTCTGGAATGAGACTTGACTCCATATTTTTGATTCCAGAGTTTGCATCATTCTCATCATAGAAAGAACCTGTTTTATTTATTTGTATTTATTTATTTATTTATTTATTTTTGTGGGCAACAGGGCTCTTCAGGATACTGTTCACCCTTAATTTAGTATTGCTGCAAGACGAATTATCCAGTGATTAGCAGCTTAACACAATAAGAATGTCTTATTTCATAGTCAGATCTTTGCACAGGGTGTATGACTGCTCTGCTCAGTGCACCATCCATGGAAAACAAGGAGTGACTTGACCTTAGTTCTCATGTTGGTGCTCTGGGGAAGCCCTCTCCACTTTCAAGTAATGAAATGCTTCTGTAGTCTCTCTGATTTCCTCTATGCCACAGTCAGAGAAAATTGCTTTTAAAAGTTTATGTGATTAGGTGATGCCCAATGGAGTACTCTCAATTTTTTAAAGTTAACCTGTGCTATGTAACATAATCATAGGATTAATATTCATCACATTCACAGGCCCAGGGACAAGGCAGGGTGTGGACACTAAGGGAGAAAACTGTCAGGGACTGCCTAATTCTGCACCTTCACTGGAAGTTTGTCCTTCAGTCGATCTGGAACTGACACAACAGTATAAAAACATCTTAGAGAAAATTCCACTGGATTTTACTTTACAAGAACCAGCAAACAGTCAATAAATCAATAAATCTATCTCTGTATCCTCACAGATTCAAACCCTCACTGAAAGAATTTATGAAGGTCTCAAAATTCTGTTCAGAATACACTCAATTCACTCCTTCAGAATTGTTTGCCATGGATATAATTTCAACCACAGAAATCCACATTCCCTCACAAATTTACTTTTTATTAGTGACTATCCTCATCATCCTCTTCCTTCCCCTCCTTCTAAAAATTTACTTGTTATTAGTGACTGTTAGGGTTTGGGCTCACTGTTAATATCGTAGCTAAATAAACAACCAACATCATGTCTTCCATCTCCATTGTTTTACAGAGACAGAACTTAACCACAGGGGCATTAAAGCGATTTTCAGTTGCACAGAGAATTGATCCAACCTGCGACTGAAGCATGTCTCCCAACTCGTTTCTAGGTCTTAGAGAGAATTTTTAATATTTATTTTTTAGTTCTYGGCGGACACAACATTTTTGTTGGTATGTGGTGCTGAGGATGGAACCCGGGCAGCACGCATGCCAGGCGAGCGCGCTACCGCTTGAGCCACATCCCCAGCCCCTGGACCTTCCTTCTAACAACTTCTTATTATTTTACTTCCCTACATTTTCCTTCCAGGAAATCACAGAGAGAAAGAAGGAAGCTCTCTTGCTGCGGAATGAAGATGCATCTGTCAAATACTGTCAGGCTCAGCTGGAGCAGCTTTCAGAGGCCCTGATGCAAAGCATCTCAAGAGGAGCGTTCTCTGTTCCTGGAGGCCACAGTCTCTACTTAGAAGCAAAGAATAAGGTGGAATTTGACTACAAGCTTCTGCCCAGGAAAGGAGTGAAGGTGAGGAATAAGGAGATAGGGGTGGCCAACAGAGTGTGGTCACAGGGTCTGTGTGGCTACGTCTCAAACTCTATGCTCACAGCACTATTTGTGAAACAAAGACAGAGAATGGCAATATAATGACTTTTATAACATTTTATATGCACTATTCATTAGACACTCTTAAATAAACTGAAAATAGTTCTTCCAAGAGAGAATTTGCAACTAGGAATTAGGGTAAAACTAACCATTTTTTTTCTTTTTCAAAAAGTATATATATATTTTTGTGCCAAGTAAGTAGGTATAATATAAAGGAAATAACCTTGTTTTTATGAAGTGTATCATACTTCAAATGGGTAAGATAATATTTAATTGGATATGGTGGATTAATACTATATGTTGATGGTAACTGGTGTGTGCTGATAGTAACAATGTGGATGATGAGGAGCAGTTGTTAACAGACATTGAACGTTCACTTCCTACACCAGGTACAGTTCCAGGTTATTTTCTTGCATTACCAATTTAATTCTGAGACTCATGGAAACTAGGTACTACTTTCTTCTATATTTATGCAGTAAAGAATTGTAATGCATGAGGATCTAAAAAGTGGCTGAAGATCACACAGCCTGAGTCAGTGACAGAGCTGATAGGGCAGCCTTTAGAAGCTCAGGATTCTTTTCTTCTTTTGAAAATCCTCCTGCTGTTTTCCATGATGGCTGCAGCACTTCACATCCCCCCAGCTGTTCTACAAGGCTCCCTTTTCTCCACATCCTCAGCAACTTCTATTCTCCTTTGTCTTATTGATAGTAGCCATCCTCACAGATGGGCTGGGATCTCATTGTGGTTTTCATTTGTGTTTTACTGGTATTAGTGATGTTGAGCAGTTTTACAAATTATCTGTTTGATGTTTTAATTTCTTCTTTTGAAAAATATCCATTCAGATCCTTTCCCCATTTTTTTAATGAGGTTATGTATTTTTTTAATTTTATTTTTTATTCTAATTTGTTATATGTAATAGCAGAATGCATTACAGTTCATATTACACATATAGAGCACAATTTTTTATATCTCTGGTTGTATACAAAGTACATTCACACCATTCGTGTTTTCATACATGAATTTAGGGTAATGATATCCATCTCATTCCATCATCTTTCCTATCCCCATGCCCCCTCCTTTCCCCTCCCACCCCTTTACCCTATCTAGAGTTCCTCTAATCCTCCCTTGCTCCCACTCCCAATGCCACTATGAATCAACCTCCTTATATCAGAGAGAACATTTGGCATCTGTTTTTTTGGGTTTGGCTAACTTCACTTAGCATTATATTCTTCAACATCATCCATTTGCATACAAATGTCATGATTTTATTCTCTTTTATTGCTGAGTAATATTCCATTATGTATATATACCACATTTTCTTTATCCATTTATCTACTGAAAGGCATCTAGATTGGTTCCACAGTTTAGTTATTATGAATTGTGCTGCTATAAACATTGATGTGGCTATGTCCCTGTAGTATGCTGTTTTTAAGTCCTTTCAGTTTAGACTGAGGAGTGGGATAGCTGAGTCCAATGGTGGTTCCATTCCAAGTTCTCCAAGGACTCTCCATACTGCTTTCCAAATTGGCTGCACCATTTTTCAGTCCCACCAGCAATGTATGAGTGTGCCTTTTTCCCCACATCCTCGCCAACACTTATTGTTGTTTGTATTCTTAATAGCTGCCATTCTGACTGGAGTGAGATGAAATCTTAAGTAGCTTTGATTTGCATTTCTCTAATTGCTAGAGACTTGAACATTTTTTCACATATTTGTTTATTGATTGTGTATCATTTTCTGAGAAGTGTCTGTTCAGTTCCTTTGCCCCTTTATTGATTGGGTTATTTGGTTTTTTTTTTTGTGTGTGTGTTTAGCTTTTTGAGTTCTTTATATACCCTAGAGTTTAGTGCTCTATCGGATGTGTAAGCGGTAAAAATTTTCTCCCAAGATGTAGGCTCTGTATTCACCTCACTGATTGTTTCTTTTGCTGAAAAGAAGCTTTTTTTGTTTGAATCCATCCCATTATTAATTCTTGATTTTAATTCTTCTGTAAAAGGACTCTTATTAAGGAATAGGGGCCTAATTCAATATGATAGAGATGTGGGCGTACTTTTTTTTTCTATTAGATGCAGAGTCTCTGGTTTAATTTCTAGGTACTTGATCCACTTTGAGCTGWGTTTTGTRCATGGTGAGAGATAGGGGTTTAATTTAATTTTGTTACATATGGATTTCCAGTTTTCCCAGCACCAGTTGTTGAGGAGGCTATCTTTTCTCCAATATATATTTTTGGCACCTTTGTCTAATATAAGATAATTGTAATTATGTGGGTTAGTCTCTGTGTCCTCTATCTTGTACCATTGGTCTACAAGTCTATTTTGGTGCCAATACCATGCCGTTTTTGTTAGTCTTGCTCTGTCGTATAGTTTAAGGTCTGGTATAGTGATGTCASCTGCTTCACTCTTCTTGCAAAGGATTGCTTTAGCTATTCTGGGTSTCTTATTTTTCCAGATGAATTTCATGATGGCTTTTTCTATTTCTATGAGGAATGTCATTGGGATTTTGATTGGAATTGCACTAAATCTGTATGATGCTTTTGGTAGTATGGTCATTTCGACAATATTAATTCTACCTATCCAAGAACAAGGGCGATCTTTCTATCTTCTAAGGTCTTCTTTAATTTTTTTTCTTTAATGTTCTGTAATTTTGGTTGTAAAGGTCTTTCACCTCTTTTGTGAGGCTGATTCCCAAGTATTTTTTTGGAGGCTATTGTAAATGGGGTACTTTTCCTTGTTTCTGTTTCAGAGGCTTTGTCACTATTGTACAGAAATGCCTTTGATTTATGGGTGTTGAGTTTTTATCCTGCTACTTTGCTGAATTCATTTACTAGTTTTAGAAGTTTTCTGATAGAMTTTTTTTGAATCTTCTAGGTATAGAATCATATCATTGGCAAATAGTGCTAATTTGAGTTCTTCTTTTCCTATATGTATCTAATTGCTCTGGTCAGTTTTTTAAGAACTCTGTTAAATATAAGACAGCATCCCTGTCTTTTTCCTGTTTTTAGAGGGAATGTTTTCAATTTTTCTTCATTTAGAATGATATTTGCTTGGGGCTTAGCATAGATAGCTTTTACAATGTTGAGATATTTCCTGTTATCCCTAGTTTTTCTAGTGTTTTGAACATGAATGGGCGCTGTATTTTGTTGGATGCTTTTTCTTTATCTGTTGAGATGATCATATGGTTCTTATCTTTAAGTCTATTGATGTGATGGATTACATTTATTGATTTCCTTATGTTGAACCAACCTTACATCCCTGGGATGAACCCCATTTGATTATGGTGCACTAACTTTTTGATATGTTTTTTTATTTGATTTGTCAGAATTTCATTGAGAAATTTTGCATCTATTTTAATTAGAATTATTGATCTGAAGTTTTCCTTCTTTGATGTGTCTTTGCCTATTTTGGAATCAGGGTGATATTGGCCTCATAGAATGAATTTGGAGGTATTCCCTCTTTCTATTTCCTGAAATAAATTGAAGAGTATTGGTATTAGTTTTTTTTTTTTTTAAAGGTCTTGAAGAACTCAGCTATGTATCCATCTGGTCCTGGACTTTTCTTGGTTGGTAGGCTTCTGATGGTGTCTTCTAGTTCATCACTTGAAATAGACCTATTTATATTTGTATATCATCTTGATCCAATTTGGGCAAATCATATGACTCTAGAAATTTCTCAATGCCTTTGATATTTCCTATTYTACTGGAGTACAAATTTCATAATAATTTCTAATCATCTTCTTATTTCTGTAGTGTCTGTGTGATATTTCCTTTTTTATCACATATATTAGTAATTACATTGAGTTTTCTCTTTCCTTTGTTAGCATGGCTAAGTGTTTGTCAACTTTATTTATTTTTTCAGAGAACCAACTTTTTGTTTTGTCAATTTTTAAAATTGTTTCTATTGTTTCAATTTCATTGAATTGAGCTCTGATTTTAATTATTTCCTGTCTTCTACTGCTTTGGGTGTTGATTTGTTCTTCTTTTTTAGGGCTTTGAAATGTGATGTTAAGTCATTTACTTTTTGAATTTTTTTTTCCTTTATGGAATGAACTCCATGCAATGAGCTTTTCTTTTAGTATGGCCTTCATATTGTCCCAGAGATTTTGATATGTTGTATCTATGTTTTCATTCATCTCTAAGAATTTTATAGTCTCCTCCTGGATATCTTTTACAAACCATTGTTCATTCGGAACCATATTATTTAGTCTCTAGGGCTGGAGCAGCTTTTATTTCTTATTTTATCATTGATTTCTAATTTCATTCCATTGTGATCTGATAGAATGCAGGGTAGTATCTCTACTTTTTTTTATATTTGCTAAGAGTTTCTTTGTGGCATAATATATGGTCTATTTTAGAGAAGGATCATGTACTGCTGAGAAGAAAGTGTATTCGCTCATTGAAGGATGAAATTTTCTTTATACATCAGTTAAGTCTAAGTTATTGATTGTGTTATTGATTTCTATAATTTTTTTGTTCAGCTTTTGTTTGGATAATCTATCCAGTGATAAAAGAGGTGTGTTAAAGTCACTCAGAATTATTGTGTTGTGGTCTATTTGACTCTTGAACTTGAGAAGAATTTGTATGATGAATGTAGATGCTCCATTTTGGGGGAGCATATAAATTTATTATTGTTATGTCTTATTGATGAATGGTTCCCTTAAGCAGTATTAAATATCTTTCTTTATACTTTTTGATTAACTTTGGCTTGGAGTTTGCTTTATTTGATATAAAGTTGAAAACTGCTGCTTGCTTCCACAGACCACGTGAGTGGTAAAATTTTTCCCAACCTTTCACCTTCAGTCTGTTGATGTCTTTTTTTATGAGATCATTTTCTTGGAGGCAGCATATTGTTGTGTCTTCTTTTTTCAATCCAATCTGCCAGTCTATGTCTTTTGATTGATGTGTTTAGGCCATTAATATTCAGAGTTAATACTGAGACATGATTTGTATTCCCATCCATTTTTKTTTATTTTTAGTATTTAACTTGACTTGTTTTCTCCTTTGATTAGTATTTCCTTTAGTGTAATACCTCCCTTTGCTAATTTTCATTATTGTTTTTTGTTTCCTCTTGATGGAAGATTTTGCCAAAGATGTTCTGTAGTGAAGGCTTTCTAGTTGTAAATTCTTTTAACTTTTGCTTATCATGAAAAGTTTTTATTTCATCATCAAATCTAAAGCTTAATTTTGGTTGATATAAGATTCTTGGTTGACGTCCATTTTCTTTCAGAGCTTGATATATGTTGTTCCAGGATCTTCTAGCTTTCAGGGTCTGAGTTGAAAAATCTGCACATAATCTAATTGGTTTCCTCCTATGTGGAATCTGAATCATTTCTCTCATGGCTTTTAATATTGTCTTCTTATTCTGTATGTTAGGCATTTTCATTGTAATGTGCGTTGGTGTGGATCTGTTGTGATTTTGTACACTTGGTGTCCTGTAAGCATCCTGAATTTGGTTTTCCAATTCATCCTTCATGTTTGGAAATTTTTCTGATATTATTTTATTAATAGGTTGCTCATTCCTTTGGTTTGGAATTCTATGCCTTCCTCTATCCTGATAATTCTTAAATTTTGTCTTTTTGGTGGGATAAAAGAAACAAATGAAAACAATGAAAAAAATAAAGAATATACAACACAACTATGATATACTCTTCAGATGTTCCAGTCCTCAAAATTCTGATTCATGCAAAGTATTTCATTTCACATATGTTGGGGATGTGAGGGAGAAGAAAGGGAGAGGGAAAAAAAAAACTTGAAGGAAGAAATACGTATTTTTTTTTTTGGTTGGAGATCAGTATCTTTCCTGCTTCCCTTCTCATCCAATAGGTGGGGTCATCTGTTGTTAGCTGGTATCCCTACCCTCAGGATGGTGAAGGTAACCAGGGTGTCACTGTGCTGGCTTAGAGGTTGCTGGGGAGAGGGGGAATTAGAAACAGGGTACCTGGCCAGCCAGAGTTTCAACCTGGGAGTTGCTCCCACTGAAGATGGTGATGAAGGTGGCCCRAGATGAAGGTGCCTGCTTTCAATGATGGGGTGTCAGATCAGGTGAGGGGAACCGGATGATGGCACTGGATGATGAGTTCAGAGAAGAGCTCTGTGGCATGCAGTATAGCTGACTTCAGAGCCTGGGTGAAGTTCTCGGGTGCAGGCAGGATACTGCGTGTAGGGGACTATCTCTGTGGTGGAAGGGTTCCAAGATGGTGGTGGGGGAGCCCCACGCTGGTAGTGGGATGGGAAGTTGCCAGGTGTCCTGCATGGTAACAGCATTCGTGATTTCTTCTTGGGTCAGTTCTCAGGTGCTGCTGCTGCCAATGGTCTCTCTTGGATACTGAGTGAGGGAAATCTTGTATGGGCGAGTAGTTGGGAGACTTTGACGCTGAGGCATGGAGCCCTGTATAGGCATGGTGCTTCTTGTGCAGGAGCAGGAATTTTGCTTGCAAAGAAGCAGTATTCTCACTCCTTGAGTCCCATGTCATGGATTGACACAGAATACTGCCTCTCTCTGGCTCGCCATCTTGGATCCCTGCTACATATATWTTTTTTTAAACTTTTGAGTCATAGAAGTTTTAATATACTTTGAAATTGACTCCTTATGGTTTGCAAATATTTTCTCTCATTCTATACATTGTATTTTTCATTTTGTTGATCGTTTGTGGGCGGTGGAGAAACTTTAGTTTGATATTTCCTACTTACTTATTTTTGGTTTTGTTGCCTATGTCTTTTAATTTTAAATCCAAGAAATCACTGAGATGGCACGTGTCAAAGGTTTCCCCCCCACCAGGTTTTCTTCTGGGAGTTTTACAGTTTTAGGTCTTATGTTTAAAACTTTAATGCATTTTAGTTCATTTTCATACAAGGAGTAAGACAATGGTCCAATTTCTTTCTTTCCTGGCTCTCTATTCTGTTCCACTGGTTTTTGTGTCTGTGTTTATGCCAGTAGCATGCAGTTGTGATTACTAAGTAATACAATTATATATATATCATATATGTGACAAAATATTATTCAGTCTTTAAAAAAAAAAGCTCTACCAATGACAACATGGATTACCCTAAGAATATTTCCCTAAAGGAAATGAGCCAGACATAGAAAGACAAATGCTGTGTGGTTAAAGGTCATTGGCACCATAAAAACCAACCACCAAAATAAGGGCAAAACACTGTTCAGCTCATATTAACATAGAGTAGAGTTAGAGGAGAATGGTGATTAGCCAGACCTGAGAGTACATGGAGGGGAGATACTGGTCAATATATAAACATGCAGCTACAGATGAGTAAGTGCAGCACAGCTGATGGACCACTATTACTGTAATCTCTTGTGTACCTGAATGTTACTAAGAGAATAGATGTCATCATTCTCATGACAGTGGAAAATGTAATTATGTGATGTAGGAAACATTTAATAATGCAGACATATATCAAAACATCATATTATACACTTTCAATGTACACCATTTTGTTAATCTCAACAAAGCTGAAAAACCACTCAGAAGCAGTCTAGGAAAGCTTCRTGGTACAGGAGGGGGGAGATACAAGTCAAGGAAACTGTAGACATGACCCTAGATAAGAAAGGCTAGAACAGATGCAGAAAAATGATATGCACATACTACAAAAATGGAGGAGGTATGTGTTTGTAGAACTGCTGCTACGTCTGACTGGGTCTGAAACCTGGGGTGGCTGGTGAGTAGCATTCATGGGAGAGAAGGCTGATACAGGGTTTTCATGTCTCACCAAAGAGCATGGACTTCTGTTGTATCCACAGAAGGAAAGGAATCACAATAGGATCCTACTGCAAAAGATGCAAAATTCAAAGTCAGTTTTGTGATCTATTGAATCATACCTTCCTCATCTGAAGACAGACCTTTGAGCCCTAAAGTGTTTTGGTTTCTTCTTGGTTCCCCAGGCAATGGAGGTCCTCCAGAGCTTCCTACAGTCACAGTCTATCATAGAAAAATCCATCCTGCAGTCAGATGAAGCCCTCACTAAGGGAGAGAAGGCCATAGCAGGTACAGGGAGGTCATAGCTCTCAGAGGGTGGGGAGGTTCCTGCACAGACCTTGACTGACTGGACAGGAAAACCTTCCTGAAACCAGAAGCTCCTTCTTGCTAAATATGAAAGCAAGAGGAGAGTCCAGAAAATGAGTTTTCCATCAAATTTGCAAATATATACTCTTGCATCATGGATATTGGGCAAATTGAGAGATTTCCCTCTTGCCTGTTCTGAAATCACCTTGGTGTGCTAACCTAGGAGGCTAGAATGCAAGCCTGTTGTTTCTTCTCTCTTCTAAAATCTTTGTGGAGCAGCCGAGCGGGCCACGAAGGAGGCAGCCGAGAAGGAGCAGGAGCTGCTAAAACAGCAGCAGAAGGAGCAGCAGGAAAAGATGGAGGCCCAAGAGAGAAGCTTCCGGGAAAATGTGGAACAGCTTAAGGAGAAGATGGAGAGAGAAAAGGAGAACATTCTGAGAGAGCAGGAAAAGATGCTGGAGCACAAGCTGAAGGTGAGTCTCTACAGGACCTGGCAGGATGTGACAGACACTGCCTGATTTCTCAGGATAGGACGGGATAAGATGTTAGATGCAGACAGCATTCCAAAGGGACACTCAGAAGGTAAATGTTTCACTGACATGGACACCTCAAGTGCACCTGGATCCTAATGAAGCCTATAAATCTAGGAGACTCCAGTACTCTGTGTATTGATAGACTTTCAAGGGTATACATAATAACCCCCAGGGTGGTGGATTATTCTTTGTTGAGATTATGTGCCCCAGTTGAGGAGGATTCTGGCACAACCATCCAAGAGACCTGGAACAGATCCTTCTGGTCTGCATGCATCAGATTTGGCCTCATATAAGATAAGGTCAGTGAAAGATCAGAAATTGCTCCTCTTGCTTTTGTGTCTTCCTGGTTCATCTATACAAGTAGAGTAAAACAAACCTGTGTCACAACCAGGAGCTTGATGACCAGTGTTCTGTACAAGGGCAGGATTTCCCATGACTTGTTAGAGGGTCACAGCCATGCCACCTTGGTGGATCTGAGAATCAATCAGAATTCATCCTCATTCTCCCCGACACAGCATCCTTTGTGCTGGAATAAAATCCCTCTCCACCTCCTGTGAGTGTGAGGAAATCTCAGAAGTGTGTAAGCCCTGGGTACTCCCCCTCTTCAGGTCAAAGGTCTGGAAATATCAAAGAATTTTCTAAGGTGGTAGAGAAATGGACACATGTGCTTAACTGCTGAATTTGTTAAATATAGAACTCTTGGCGGTTTATAACCAGGGATTCTCAAAAGTGGACTCTTCCTCTCTTATAGGTCCAAGAAGAATTTCTTACTGAAGGATTTAAAGAAAAATCTGAGGCATTAAGTAAAGAGATAAATCGACTAAATGAAGAGATTGAAGCATCTAAAAGAAATAGTCGCTCGATATTTTCACAGATCCTTACTGGAGTTGGCAGTGTTTTCCTTGCAGTACTCCCTGGGGCTGGTAAAATAGTTGGTGCACTGTTGACTGCCATAGGCAGTCTTTTTGAATAACCTGAGGATTCCTGATAGGAAACTATAAAAAGAGGCATCTTTTATTTGAATAGCTACTTTTTAAGGTACCTGTGTCATATCAGTTTCATTCAAGAGATGTTCGAGAATAAAAAACACTTATCAAAGATTATCAGAGCATATTCTAAGAGAAACAATCTTTATTGAAGAAATCAGAAATGACTAAGACAATATGAGATGATTTCTAGAGAAGACTTTAAGTAAAACAAAAAGTTAAATAGCAATATGAAGAAAATATTTGAAATTCATATATGAGGAGCTCTGTGGGAAGTGACTAACAACTGCATTAAGTGGAAAGAAACATAAGACAAAATTTAAATTTACTAATAAAAAAGTGTGCACAATAAAACTGTGAAGCACATAGTTTTGCCTTCTTAGTGGGTAGTGAAGAACAGGTTTAATAATATACATAAAAATTTAAAATGCACATACCTCTGATCTAGCAATTCCACATATAGGACATTCTCTTATGTATCTCTTCACTCAAATGAAAATGATATTTGTAGTGGTTGACTTATTTCAGGATCATGATGATTACAAAAGACTGGAAGCAACTGAAAGTTCCTCTGTCAGGTACTGATGTGGTAAATCTTTGGACATGCTTTCAGAATAATACCCTCTATTGATCGTTAAAAGGATGGGGGTGGGAGTTGTATGTGTCGGAAGACATCTCCAAGAGTCATCTTAAGTGAAAAAATATAGAAAGTGTGAATAATTTATAAAATAATGAGTATGTACATATGTTATAACCTACATGTGGAAAATACAAAATAAACTAGTATATATGTCACAATAGGAAGGCACCTGTCTAGTTGAGGTGAAAGAAGACAGAATGACTCACTTTATACTATATTTTCTTCCATGCCTTAACACTTCCTATGGATTTGTTATATTCGAACAAATATGAATTCAATTAGCAAAATTAAAAATGAAATAATACATGACTGGAGAAATCCCAGGACAGGAGGAAAGTGTTTAATACTACTAGAAATAGCAAAAGTCAGCTCAACTAGAAAAGTCTGCTCCTGAGAATAAGGAACTAGAGAGCACAAGACATCCTGATTTTTTGTTTTTCATTATGACCTTTCAATAAGGCCTTTAAACATCTATTCCCCAGTGTATGTTCAGATAGAAGTCTCCTGGGATTTTGACTTGAATGGTCTACAAATTCTGCCCCACATTAATAAAGAAGGGAAATTTTTTTTCATTTGAGTTAATTCAACATTTATAGAATAATAATAATAATTATTATTATTTTGTGGTGCTAGGGATTGAAGCCATGGCCTTGTGCATGCCAGGCAAGTACTGTATCAACTGAGCTAAATCCCCAGCCCAACATTTTAGTAATTCTTTCCAGGTGTCTAGTGCTTCAGACTTACAGCCAGAATGAACTCCTAGTAATTCTACAAGCTGGGCATGCTCTCGTGACTGTGGACCTTTACAGATACACAGAGGCTTCCTCATCAGCCCAGCTTCCTCACCTCTTATCTTTATTTGTCAACCTATGATATTCCATGAAGTCTCCTATCTAACTTCCAGAGATAGGATGGAGCGTCCCTCCTCTCTGCTTTCATTGTGCCATATTGTCTCTCTACCATAGAGCTTTTTTAATATATATAATTGTGAAATTGAAAATGCCTGTCTGCTTCTTTTTGCCACCTCTTGTTCTGAGGTACATGGTCTTCTTCATCACCTGATCTTTAGTTCCAAGCACAAAGCCCAGAAGTACCAGGTATGAACTGTTTAAACACATGAGATGCCCTTCAGGAGGGCCCCAGTTGACCATGTCCTCACCACATTTCTCAATTTCCAAGGCTCTCAAAATAAACGATAATATTTGAGGAACTAGTGCAGAAGGGACTCACTGAAACAGAGAGGACCTGTCCACTGGTGTGAAACTGCTGACTATTATCTCTGCAGGACTGGACACCCCATGTCCCTGAGATCCTCAAGCTTATTACTCATAGTAACTACCCAGGAATGAAGTCACTACTTTATTTCCTAGCAAAAATATGATTTGAATACAATAAACAAAGTGCCATAATCACACAAACCTCACTTCTGACCTATTCTTTCTATCAGTCTAGGCTGGTTCTGCTGAAATAAAACTAGGCATTTTATATAAAGATAAAAAATCTCACTGAAAATAATACCCACAGGCTGTCAGAGGAATCTGCATATTGTCCACAGAGCCAGGAGACAGCAGTATTACAAATACTTCCTTGTTTCCTCCTTCTTACTAAGGTCCTAAGAGCACACCTGTGCTATCTTGGGTCTTAAAGTAATGGTCAGTCACCTTTTAGTTCCCCAACCAAAATCATATATACAGAGGCTTCTTCCACTGGCAACAGAATTCCTGTTGCTGAGTCAATCCCCAAGGGCTTGCTGGTTTCTCTAAGGAATGTCCTGAACACTGGACATTRGGGCGGTTTGGTGAAGGACAATGAGGGGGCAGGCAAAATTTCGGGTGGCCCATCACATCTCCCCAACACACATGTCCAGCAATGCAATATGAAACCCTCAACAAGGAAATGTTGGCATATAATTATAGTTATTTGTACATAAGGAAAGGGTCAGAAGTGAGGTAAAAAAATAATAGAAGAGTAAAAAAGACTTCCCCACCCACCCAGTTTAAATCTTTGTTATAAGTTGTCATCTGTTGGGTTAATGTTTATAGACACCCAAAAGAAGTTTGTAAGCAGAAGGCCCCTCACATACTTGAAAATAAATAAGTACTTGTTGAATTTTTGATGGTATAACAGATCTATGTTTTCAATCACCTTCTCAACAATTTTGTAGGAAAACAACTACACACCACTTGTCTACATAGTATTTGGCCATTTTCGTAACCCCTTGTGCATTTTACCAGATTGTGTTGACATCCCACCCTGTTAGTGCCACCTTCTCACATGTTGGACTAAATTTAAGCAAATTGCAATAATTTGTAACTTCAAGAATCTTTTCTGTGTTGGAGTTGAAATTAAGGGTGGGAATGTGTTAGAAATAAATAAAGAAAGAAAGAACTGAGCAGATCTCTGAATAAGAGCAGTGGAAATAACATAAGGAAGCAGGAACGCTGAGACAGTTTCATGGTCTCCTTGTGGCCTCTGCAGGCTCAGATTACATTTTATCACACAAGTATATGTCCCTCAGAGGGAGGAAGTAAGACCATGTGACCAAGCTGCCTGCATCCCCCTGAGGGGCCTATGTCCAGGGGGAACTTAGAGAGGTTCTGAGGAAGGTTTTCTAGCCTTATAATTAGATCAAAAACAGCATCCTCTGTGGAGTGAGGGGTCCCCTCCAGTCCCTAGAACATGGCACAAGTGCAGTGGGCTTCTAGGACTGCTGTGCCGTCATGTTCATGAAAGGGAACAGGCACCTCCTTACTTTTCTTAAGTAATCACATTCTGAATCTCACACGAGGAACCCACTGACTTCATTATTTCTTTCAATTCTTATGTGATTGAGATTCTGAGGATGATGAAGGACAAGCACACAACAACCAATGGGCTGAGTTGTGAGCAGGGTAGAAGGTTACTACTCACAAAAATGAGTCATTAACTATCTGCTTGGACAGTTGGGACAGATTCAGAGAACTTACTATGTGGCTGTCTCAAAGGCACAGAGGATGATTAAACTCAGGTCATTGTAGGGAAATCAGTTATGGGAGACATTTGGAGTTATGTGCATAACAAAGCTGTCACAATGTGTCATATGACTGCCCAGTGCTCTCTGCAATTTCCAGGTGAGTTGATGAACTGGTAAAAATAAGATGGCTGGAGGAAGCCTTGGCAGAAGAAATTGCTGCTTGGCTACACTGTAGATTAAAGCATGCAGGACGAAAGATTGTGGGAAGTTGGGACATGCTGGGGACTGCCCATAAAATGTCTATGTTGCTGAATACCAGAACCCCCTTGCCTGCTCTCTGTGTTACTTGCAATGACTAGATGCCTCCAAGGGGCATATCAAACTAAATGATCCTCTGCAATGATGTCAGATAGACTACATTGGCCCTCTCCCATTATCAGAAGGGGACAGATATGCTTTGACTTGTGTGGACACATTACAGGCTTACTTCCAACCTTCCCCAGCAAATATAGCCAATGAAAGGGCCATTGTTAAGGAGCTAGTCTGACTGTGTGCTGTGAATGGCATATCACAGTTAATGGAGAAAGACCAAATAACCCATTTTGCAAGTCATGACACATAGTACTCTCAAGATGAGGGCAAATTGTGGATTTTTCCATCTGAAATATAATCCAACAGGGGCTGGATTAAAGGATAGAACCAATGCCCTGCTGAAAAAAGTCTTGGAGACTGAAAATACTTCTATTTTTTTGGTTAAGTTGAATTGTCTGCCTGAGGCACTGAGGACATTAGTCCCTGCATGAGTGCCAGGCATGAGCAGTCTGCAAACAATTCTATGTTAACATGCTCATGGCATTTAGGATTACAAATAAAGGGCACATCCACTGATCATCTTCTCAAACTGGTCAGGGGTACTAGGAACAATTTATTGTTGTCGGCTCCTCGAGATATCACATTTGTTACCAGAAGCATTAGCTGGCCATGTACTGTACAAATAAGTGCCTGATGGTTCCCTTTCCTAACCCCCCATTGGAGGAGGGAAAATTTTTAAATTTACAAGGAAAGCTTGTAAACCTGGGAGCCAGACCCGGGCAAGTACAGGTGTTAAGGAACACTTTCTATCAGTTTATGGCAGTTATGTATTCTAAATGTGTCTTATTCTTTCTATACCCTCAAAGTTCAAACATACAGACCCGGTCTGGTACACTTGCCCAGGGAACACTGTTGCAGACTACTAACTCAAGATCTTACGGTAGTCTGTATTCTGCCTTATAGAGCGGATTTGCCATTATTGGTGCCTAATAAGCATTTGTCATCTTTTCCTTGGGTTAGCAATGGGTAACCTATTCCTGGATTGGGCAATGGAGGTGCAGGTATTGTGCCAACTAACTTTG